TGTCAAGAAAATGGAAGATATTTTCAAACGATGCCTCCAGATCAGCAAAACTAAGTGACTGGTGTGTTCCTTCATGGTCTGTGGCCTGAAGAACCCATTTGGCCATGCCAGGGTCAAGGGGTGTCATACCAGGCAGGGGTGAAAGCCCATAGACCAGCTTTTCCCCTTGCTTTTGGATGCTTCATCCACCACTGTCAGGCTGACGGCAGCCACTGCCACCTTCTGGTGAAGTGACTTAAGACACCTCAAGGCATCCCAGGATGAGGTGGCACCCTGTGCATGGTGATCTCTCCCACTGAACTTTGTCCTGATTCCCAGATGAGGCTGCCATCAGGCAGAATTTAGGAAGCTTATTTTCTTAGCAATCTGTATTTGAGTTAAAGTAATTCTCTACAGTCTGACAGGATTTCTAAAAATAGCCTTATTTTGCTTGAGTTCAAGCAATAACTCCATTGTGAAGATGCCTGGCCAGGATCTGTGCCTCCTGCCCAAACGCCAGCTAGTACTGCCCAGAGGAGGAGCTGAGCTGCTCACAGCAGTCACCTCTGCCCTCCTAACTGAGCTGCCCAGCAGGTCTCTGCCTCACAAGTGCCGAAGTCTTGAGCCTGCAGGATAGTTGAGAGACTGTAGAACATACTCCCTCTCCACCTTCAAGGGTGCTGTCAGGACCCCGGGGCGGATGGGAGCGGTGAGTCTTCTCCAGCCCGCTGGTCCTCCCCAGTTTATACTCTGTTCATTCCTTCCCTGTTCCGCCTCATTCTCCTCTCCTTCGGATTCTATTTTTTTCCCCAAATTTGTCTTCTATAGCTATTCTACATGCTATATTGATCTTTTTTTTCATTCCGAAAAATGTGATTTCCTTTAACTAGAACACAGGCCACTTGGGGCACTTTCCAAGCTCCCTGGACCATTCCTGACCACCGCACCCTCTTGCCCCTTCTGCTTATTCTTCCTCTCCCATCCCACCTAGACTTTGTACCCTCTTCTCCATACATCTCTCTTTTTCTTGAAATGTTTTTGTTTGTGGGGTGTTATGTATGTGTCCATCTTGACCCCCTGATTGTTTTTCTTCCTAAGTGTGTGGGGCAGATCAGGAGAAGGAACTAATTTGAGCAGTGGGAAAAGATTGTGTTAAAAGTGAACCATTGATGTTAGAAAAATAATTATGAGTTTAAAAGCTTAAGAAATGCATAAAATTAAAATTGAATTGCTGTAGGCAAATAATTATGCAAATATTGCGTTTTGTCCATCATCCCATTTTGGTCAGTTATATATTTTTTTCATAAAATAACCAGCCTCAACCAGCATTTTCTCTAGTGTCTTTAAAGTTACTATAAATTCTCAAAAAAAAAAAACCCCAGAAAAAGTCATTTTTAGAAGTTCACTTAAAGTTCACTTAGGAGTCACTTAAAGCAATATGTGCCTCCTGGCAGTTTTAGGAGAGTAGCTCTCCCCACATCTAGCCTCCGAGGACGGATTGGCAAAGCCCCGCAGAGGCCTTCGGCCCAGAAACAAGTTATTCACCTTGAGTGAGTCCCCTGCGTAGTGCTCGAGCTTCATGGAAGTCACCAGCACAGGAAGTTCTGAGTGCTGTTGCCAAGGTTGGATGTTCGCTCCCTGGGGCTCCGGGGGATACCGTCATCATGTGGGTCAGCCCTGAGCAGGAGTCACAAGATCCTGGCTTAGCCGTGCCCACCATGGTATAGCTTTAAAGAGCCCTTGGAGAAATAGTAAGGGAAGGATTGGGGGCACAGGCAATGGCTGTGTTCATAGACAACTTGAGAAATGTTTTGTTTAATATGTCTTAACTGTGATTAAAAACACTCCATTTGGCTGACTCTAGTGTGTAGAGATGCAGAAGGGTGATCCTGACACCCAGTTGTCCCAATCATTGGTATTTCTAACTTCACACCCACCTACCCTGTGTGGATTTAGCCTGCCAGGAGAAGCAGCAAGTAGCAGCAGGTGGATGATGTAGCAGGGGTGACTCAGTTTTACCCATTTTCCGTGGCGACCAGCCAGAGGAAAGCTAGGAATGTGGTGGGGAAACAGACAACTTGCTTAAGTGTCACCAGGGAGGAGATGATGCAGAAAAACAGAGCAAAGGCTTCAAGGGCTGGAAGTCATTCTGGCCAACGCTGTAGTGCATGACTTGCATTTCAGAATAACACCCTCCCGCTGCCTATTCCATGATAAAGATTATAACGGAATAGCTACAGTTTTTTCAAGGATGGGGCAGGTGATGCTGGGATGAACAGTGGAACAAAGCACCAATCCCTTTCACAGCCTAGAGGCGGCAAAGGGACGTGGAGTCAGGAAGACCCTGAATCCATTCCTGCGTTGTCTCTTTCTCACTGTGAGAATGAGAGCAAATTTTCTTAACCTCCCTGGTTAAGGGAATTACAAAGAATTTATTTGTAAGATGAGATATCGATGTATCTCCAAGAGTTTTTGCTAGGATTAAGTTAGATGTTAGTAAATTATCTGCTACTTAATATTATATTATATATGTATAGTGTAATACATTACACTTACTAATGGGAGCTATTATTCATAAGTGTAGGTAAAATTTTCTTCTATTAGATTTATAAGACCAACATAAAAAATTAAAAGAATAAATTATACATCCCCTGGAACTTATCCTAATAGCTAATATTCAGATGAGTCCATCAACTTCATTGTACCCTCTTAAAAGCCATACTGAAATCCACATGTCAGGCTTGGATCCTGTGGGCACTGTGAGAATTGAAAATTTGTTCACTCATATGTTCTTGTCCTGTGTTAACCCGGGATAGGTGAGATTTTTTTCCCCCACCTACACCAAATAAGAAATTGCTTTAAGGACACCCATTCAGACTTCTCTGTTGCCTTCACCAGCCCCCCACCCTACCTCACCCCCATCTTTCTACTGCTTCTGCTTAACAAAGTACATAAATTGTTTAACTCCCCAAGCCATGTTATTTTTTTTTCCGTATTATAAGAACTGTTTCTCATTCTTTTCTAAAAAATCTAAAATTCCACATTACAAAGCTCTAGGGAGAAAAATATGTTTAAAGAGCTCAGGCTTTTAAAAAATATCCTAGGATATTTAAATACCATCTTTCCCCCCATAAAAATTTTGCTTCTTACTTCAAGAGCCAGATAATAGTTACAAATTAACCTGCACCTTACCGTCTACTGATAGGCTGTCATTTCTCTATGATTCAGAAAGAGAGATGGTTTTGAGCTAAATGCTAGGCTGGAGTTTAATAGGTACATATCTTGGTTCCCAGCTAAACTAATTTTTCACTTGGCAGGCACCATTTTCCCAATTAAATCTCCATCAAAGCTGATTTTTTTTTCCTTTGGCACCATGATATTTTATTAGTATAACTAGAAGTTCTGTTAAAAAATAAAAACAAGCAATGCCAAAATCTTTAGAAGCATACTCCAAGACATATGTTTCTGGATTCCATTTTCTCTCTTTGTTGTGCCCTGTTTTTAACACTTAATGTAAATAAGCTCACATACTCAGTTTATAGCAGGGAGAGGCTTGGCTATATTGGTAGAAGAACCTTAGCCTTGGTCAGCTTTATAATGACCAAGTCTTATCCTTAAAGCCAAAGGTGTGAGGGGAAGAGAGAGGGGAAAAGATAACTTGGTAGCTGATGCTTTTCCTTTTTGTGGGCTTGGGGAGACCAGGGACAGGTAAAAATGGGGGGAGATGGGATGGTAGTTAGAGAGGCTGTCTTTGAATAATACTTTACTCAAAATAATAGCAGTATCAGTTTTATTAAATTTCACAATTTAATCTGGTCTAAACTTAAAATAATTTAATCTGAAACTTAAAATAATTTGCATAGAGACAAGGATTCTTATGTTGAATTCTTTGGCTTGTGCTTGCAGGTTAGTTCATGTGCTTTGCTAAGGCTGGTACAGATTTTAAGGGATTGGGTCTTCATTCTGTATTCATGAATTCTGAATTCACGCTAGGAAGATATTAGAGAAAGGGAAAGGACTGTTTCAGCCTAACTCATTGGAGAAATGCTTTGGAGAAATTATCATGGATGTAGTGACCAAAATATCCTGCATTTTCAGGACAGTCCCACTTTAAAAGTTTCTGTAAGTATATGCGCAGTCTCGTTTCTTGTTCAGCACAGCCACTTCTGAGAGGGGCTCAGATCTTGTCTCAGTTCTGCAAGTCTTCATGTGCCAGTGGTCAGCTTAGTTAGGGAGGTGTGTTATGGCCTTGGAGAACCATCTCACACCCAGGAACCCATCTGAGTTTGATTTGTTCCAGAGTCACAGTTTAGACACTGAGCCTGAGCAGCACCTTTCAGAGCAAACCATGTAACCACATCTGCCACGGCACGCTGTATGCCAAGGATGGAAGTACTTGAGGAACCAGGTTGAGAATAAATCCAAACAAGTGATTTTGAGAGTTTTCTCAAATTGTTTTCTTAGCTGCAGAACCTCTTTGTTAAATGATATTGTATTTGGAGTCTTAGCATATATAAAACAGGCCATAGTGGAGGCACGGAGCTAGGAACCACCCGACCGGGGCCTCCCTGTCTCTCTAGTAGCAGGCCTGGGGGACTCCGTGAATCTCACTCAGCAGGCTAGACCAGAGACTCTGGGTGTGAGCATCCAGGAATCCATCTCTGCCCGTTTGCAGCTCAGCTGGCTAGGACCCTGTGTTCCCGCTTTCCTCTGGAAATGCTCTTGAGGAGGATCTTGAACTGCGTGTTCCCATGTTTCTCTTGGTGTCAGGTGACAGTCATTCCTCAGGCACCAGGAACATACCATCTGGACTACAGGTCTGCAGATGCTGTTCGGTGTGGTGGGCTCTACAAACCTGGCTCCTCTCAAATGTGGTGTAACTTCCAGCGCTTGGCTCCTCCCTGCACTGGGCTCCTTGGTGTGGCTGATGATGGTGCAGGGTGGTAGAAGTGAGGGACATGTCACTCAGTTCTCTCATCTTAGCTGGATGCCTCCTAATCACATTTTGTTTTGTTCAATAGATGATGATTCAGATCTGTACTCTCCTCGATACTCCTTTTCTGAAGACAGTAAGTGACTTAGAATTTCCTGGCTGCAGGGGAGGAATGGAGGGTGGTGGATGAAGGAAGACATCTTGCTGTTTTTGGCTTTCATCAATTTTAAACGTCTTCCATACCCACTTTCCATTTCCAGCAAAATCGCCCCTTTCGGTGCCTCGCTCAAAAAGTGAGATGAACTACATTGATGGTGAGAAGGTAGTTAAGAGGTCGGCCACACTTCCCCTCCCAGCCCGCTCTTCCTCACTGAAGTCAAGCCCAGAAAGGTAAGTGCTCCCATGTCCGCAGTCAGTTCTGTGATCTCAGGCTCTCTGTCACAGCCTACCAGTAAAGCATGATCTCTCTATGCCGAGTTAGACAGCTCTGGTGCTAGGAGCCAAGCAGACCTGATTTTGAACCCCTGTTGTCACACATTAGCAGTGACTTATTCTTTATGAATCTCAGTGTCCTCATCTGTAAAATGGGGATAAATTTTACATTTGTCGGAATGTTGCAAGAATAAAATAATTCATATAACATTCCTAATAGTGCCCAGCTATTATTGAATAGAATGATCACTTTTTACCTTTTCACAAGAGCAATTTTAACTGTAAGATTTGCCATGTGTTTTTATATAGTCTGTTAACACGGATAGGGCCCATAGCAGAGAATACAGTTTTAAAGTGAAGCCACCCATTTTAATATCATTTATTTATGCAACACATAGTATGAGAAATAAGGTTTGGACTGGTTCTAATGATGATGTTAGTCATTTCTTCATTCCTGCAGTGAAGGGCCCAATTTTCTTTTATTGAGTTCTTCATAAGCAACCTTCTTATGCCATCTGGACTGATGTCCCATTCATCTTCCAGCCCCATCTTCTACCATTTCACAACACAAAAAAGGCCCAGCCAAACTATTTATTTTTCCTCTAAATGCACTATCAGTTTCACACCCCCATCCCTTTTCTACCTTCATAGGCAAATGAATGGCTGTTTTAAAAGTCTCACACATACATAAGTGCCATCTGCCTGAGGAGTTTGACAATTAATTTGAAAGGAGGGCTGGGTATACTCATTAATCCTTTATAAGAGCATTCATCAAGCACCTACTGGGTGCATTCTGTGTGCAGATGGAACCAGATGCTATGGAGAATATAAACATGTAAATCATTGTCTCTCCCTTCAAGAGCTCTATGGCCTTGCAGGAAAAAAGAAATCACAGTGTAAAATGCAATAATGTACATGAATAAAAAATTTGCAATTTCCATGGATGCATGTATCCTCTGAAACCTATCAGTGGATTAGACCCATCACTGGGTCAGTTAAATATCTATGCCAAAGGCTGTGATTTTGGTGATACTGGGGCAGAGTGTGGAATAGGGAAGAATACGATTATAACAGCAAATAACATTTATTGAAAGATTACTATGGGCCTGGGTGCTCTGCTAAGTGATTTACATGTACCATCTCATTTAATCCCCATAAGAGCCCCATTTTTCAGATGAGGAAACTAAGGTAGCAAGAGGTGAAGTGCTTGGCCTAGGTCACCTCGCTAGCAGGTGCTGTAGCAGGGCTAAGCCACAGCTGGCTGGCTCCAGGACCTGCCTGCTCTCTCCCCGCACTGGCACAGTGGGAAGCACAGTTTTGGGAACTATAAGCTCATGAGAGCACAGCAAGCTTCCCTGCTGCTTCCCTCCCTTCTTCTCTGTCTCTTCTTTCTGCTTCGTGGTGCCTGGTTTTGAGTACAGGACACCTCAATCCACTAGGGGAACAAGCAGATTTAACTGGTTGTTTTGAGAAGGAACCTAGCACAAGTAAATGCTTTGCACTGAGTCTGATTTTATTCTTTGGATACAAAAATTCCTTGTTGATTTGACTATAGTCAGCCAAAATCAGACCTTGTTGGATGCCAATTTTCATGAAAATAGCTCTAATAGGATTTTCTTTCTACAGAAACGACTGGGAGCCCCCAGATAAGAAGGTAGATACAAGAAAATACCGTGCAGAGCCCAAAAGCATTTACGAATATCAGCCGGGCAGGTCGTCCGTTCTGACCAATGAAAAGATGGTAATGTGCATATTGAAGTTCTTTTGTCTCACTCTGCCTATGTTCTTAAATCCGGATGCATTGTGCACTTGGATTACATTCTTTCTCCCTTGAGGTAGACTTGCTTTGTTCAGAAGACAATGAAAAAATGAAGTATTTTTACCCATTTCATTTTTGCAGGTGTTCATAACATATAAGTCCTGAGACTCTCCTTTGAAAGGATCTTTATTGTGGCTTTGTTGCTCTTTTTGTGCATGATTTTAACTCATTTTAAATTTTCTACTAACATAGAGGTTGATTTTGCTGCTGTTTTTTTTTTGAACATCTAACCATTAATTTATCAGACTTATTACTATCTGGACTAAACTTTTCTTTTTTCAAGTGACTAATTTGAATATGCATTAATTTTTGTAGAAGTTGCTAGTACATCATGAAAAGTTAAATAATAGTGTGTTGTGACTTGGGAAAAAAAAGTCCTAGGCTGTTAGAATATGTCTTTTAAGTCATCCTTTTCTGACAAGTCCAATGTTGAGAATTAACTTCATATTCAATCTAATTTATGATTCTCTACACAAGTTCATACCTCCACACAATTGTTAAGTGGGGGAAATGGCCTGTGCAGGCATAGCAGACCACCCTGGAAAAACAGCTTCTTCTGTAAAATGGGAAAGAATTTTTACAAACTGATGAGTTTCATATTTGCCAGTCCACACTTCCTTTTACTAACCCATCATGAGAAAAAAACTGGTTCGGAATTCTGATCTTGATTAAAAGGATTCTCCAAAGCTCCATAAACGTTGCAGCCCTCCAGCCATGCCCACAGGATGGAATTATCATGCTGGGGATTGGGTTTTATTAGAAGGCTGTTACCACACTGGGTACAGAATAAGTAGGCCCCTGAAATGCAAAGTCAAACTATGTTCCCTCCACCTCTTCTGCTCTACATGTTTTAAGGAATAATTAATTTGACTTTTACTAAAATAAAAATGTGCTATCTTTAAAAGCACAAAGGGATAAGTGATTTTAATTAGAAAAGAGGTCAAGAGTTCACAGAAATGCTGTAGAGTTGTCATTCTTCAGCATTTACTATGCACCATAGTCATTTTAAGCAAAGGGTTCAGAGAGGCGCAGAGAGTTTTGCTTCTGACCCCACCCTTCACTGGATGTTCACTGCCCATTAGAAGACAGTAAATGGAAGTTAACCTTCCACAAAGGTGTTCCTGGTGAGAAAGTCATGTGCACTGGGCATGTTCCTGACACTTGAGAAACACCTTCCCGTATTTGCACCCGTCCTGATTTCGGAGGCTCTCTAGTCCTTCTGGTGCTTTTGTTCGGGTGGTATCATTGTTCAGAGACGGCCACTCTTTTATCGCAGGCTTGCCCCTTAATCCTTTTTTGTTTCCCCCTCCTTTTCCTTGGTGGCTAGTAATTTGACCACTGTTTAGAACTAGGAAAAATAACATTTTGTTTTTCCCATTGATCCCAAAATGGTTATAAATATCTTCCATGTGACAGTCCTTGGGGTCATTTATATTGTTTTTACAAACCCTGAAAAGGAACACATAGAGCTCTTTTTGTGGTGACCATGCACAAGGATTGCAGAGCTCTGTCTGGGTGTTCCTGCCCAGGGGGCACCCCTGTGTGTCTCAAGATCCAGGTCGATCAAGCAGCAGGACATACATACCAAAGGCAGGCCAGGGAGGGACCTGACCACCCAGTCATTTAATTTAGTGCCTTCTGCTCTTTTTAGCACTGTTCTTTTAAAGAGAAGATTCTCATTTTAGAAACTGCAAAATTGCCATCTTTTCAGTCTACTCTTTACAGCAGTTGAATACGTCCTCGGTTTGTTTTTTCTCTGCTATTTTGCCACATGAACAGAAAAGTTGGAATGGAGTTTCTGTGTTGGTCTTGCCTTTTGGTATCTAGTATCTGGTTATGAGGACACCCCCCAGGCCAGCCACCACATACATACTTTTTTTATTGGTAACTGTGGATAAGTATACCAACTATCAACAGATGTAGGATTTAAATTTGCTCTCAGAAATGCACAACTCCTTTTTTAGGGGGAAAAGGGGATGCTTTTTTTCCTCCAATTTGAGGTATTCATGTCAGCTTAGGCCTGCTGATTTAAATTGTGATCTCATAGGCCCAGCTATCTGTTGTTCACAGGAAGGGCTGGAGAGTACTCTAAAGACAGTTCAGACCTCATCTTGTCCGTGGAGCCCAGACAACCCATCTCAGACAGATAAAACACTGCATACCTCAGAGTCCCTCACAGGAATGCTACAGCCTTGGTGACTAACTCAGCTATTTGCAAACACATAGGGAGTCCTCCGTAACTACCTGGCCCCCCCAATCATGGCATGAGCCCATGTGTCCTCTGGCCTTGGGTTTGGAGATCTGTGGGTCCGTCCCTGCTTTGTCAGAAATGACCTTTTTCAGGCTTTGTTCCTTTTATTTTCATCCAAAGTTCCTTACAGAACTTCAGCTCAGTTTAACAAGCATATAATAACTTATATGCCAAGCCCTGGGTGAGATGGTGGGGTCCCTGCACCCTCTGGGGTAAGTGGGAAGGATAGGCGTTAAAATAGTAATGACAGACATGATGTATGTTTAGAGGAGCAAAATGTAGAGGTTCTACCTAGCTTGGTTTCCTCCCAGATCACAGTCACTTTGAGTTCCTTCTTGGCTTTTCAAGTTTGCCACTTTACCCCATTTTAGCTGGACATCACCGTAAACCTTGTGGGCCTTCCTGCATTGTGTGGGGAATATGGGGCCTACCTTATGTTTGGGGGCAAGTCATTTAATGTTTTGGAACCTCAGTGTTTTAGTCTGAAAAATGGAAGTATCATCCGGCCTGGCAGTCTTACTGAAGTGTTGAGTAGGAGGATCAAGTATGATAATCTGAGTAAAAGAACTGTGAACGTCATGAAGAACTGTGCACATAAATAGACCACATTTAGATTATTTATTTAATTAACACTTAAAGCCAGTCTCTGGCTCCTGTCCAAGCAACAAAACTATCCTTGAGGAGACCCAGGCATTTTCCCAGCAAGCCCCCTACCCTTTCCAAGGATTTGCCATGCCCGGGAAAGAGTAGCCCACGGTAGCAGAGAACAGCCTAGTATTGTGGAATCTGCCCTGCCTTCCAGCACAGAGATCTTGCTCTGCCTCCAGAAGGACGTTTTTTATTTGTGTGTTCCATAATTGGATCTGCCGCTGAGTTAAAATAGCAAAATCAAATTCAGATGTTAGTGCTGTGTGGTATTAGCTCTTTAACTGTCTCTCCAGGCCGCTCAAAGGAGTGCGGCCAGCTGCTCCAGGCCCAGGCTGGTTCACATGCCCCCGGATTCAGTTCTCAGCACAGTGTTAACCTTGGCAGCAAAACAATCTGCAAAGAACCTTTAGCAATTAAATTGGTGAATTCCTTCAGGTCTGTGTACCAAAACATTCGGGCAGTTTCCTGAAAGAGTTGGTACATTTTATTTAAGAAACAAAACAGAAAAAAAACCTAACCCAATTCCAGAGGGCAGTTTGTAAAAAGTCTTTAAACATAATAAACATGAACTAGGTTTCATAAAACTCCCTCAGGTAAGGATCTAGGATATCCCCGTGTCTGAACTGCCCCTTTGGGGTAATTGTGTCCTTGTAGATCTTAGACCCCATTTCACTGACTAAATACAGAATCCAGTTAGCATCCATTATTTTTACATAATTACAGAATCTACTGGGAAGGAACACATCTTCTCCTTCAAGATTTAAGCCCTAAGTCCCTAAAGATAATTGAAGGAGGTTTTAAGCTGGATGCAAGAGGACAGACTATTTCAATATACATTTCCCTCTGATTTCAACTAACTGATATTCAGTGAATTTCAGTTAACTTTTCAGTTAAGTTCTCTGCCTTATCTTTCTCTGTTTGAAGCAGAAGTAGAAATAACAGTAAGGATTTTAGAAGAAGGGACTGATGAAGGTCACTAGGAAAGTTTACAGCCATATCTAAAAGCTGCAAAAGGCCTGTTAATGGAATGGGAAGAAAAATGCATCCGGGAGGAGGTGCTTTGTGAAGGAGTTGCATTGAAGATGTCCCCGCAGGACTTGGCAGTCTCCCTGCTCATGTGTTATAGCCCTGAGAGAACGACATTTCTTACATATTGTTTCAATCTTGGTGGAAAATGTATATTTTATATTTCATATTGCTGTCAGAAAAATCACCATATCTCTCTTGGGACTGCCAGGGTTTTTTGAAACGTGTATACATGTATGAATTTAATTAAGCCATGTGCCTCCAACACTTCTGTCTGCTGTGAATGTATCTCCAGTTTACTAAGGAGAAAACTGATTTGCTTTCCAGGCATTCATTTTCCACCTAATTATTTCCAGAAATACATGTAATCCCACAGAGCAAGGTACCAAAACTTTTAAGTATTTGATTACACATGCAAGCCCATGGATCAGTGTGAACTACCTCTTAGAGGTGTATGAAGTGAGAAGTCTTAACTTGTTTTGTAACATAACCCAGAAGTTTTTTTCCCTCTTGTTCTATTGTCTGTCTTGTTCAGCTTTTCCCTCACTTAATTTTTTTCCAGTTAACATTTGTTAGACCACTAAGTATATTCCTTCTGTATCCATCCCCCACGGGTGCTTGTTAAAATGTTTTCTTCACTTGTGTCTTCTGTTTTTACTTATATCATCTTTCACTTTACTGTGTGTGGGACATGGTTTCTCACCTACTCATGTGCCATTAAAGATGCAGTATTAACAAATTGGCTTTTATAAAGTCAGTATTGGCATTTATTTTGAAAACCTTAAGGCAGCCTTGCAAATAAGTACTAAAACTGTGCTAGCCTATAAAAAATGTTTGCTCTACTCACCCGGCATAGATGACTAAACGTGTGATTATTTGCTCAGGTTATTTGTTCCTAACTAATAGTTCTATGTAATGAAGAAATGAGGGTTTTCTTTTCTCCCATAATACGGACAATTATTGTGGAATAAGCATGTGCCCGCATTTGTTGTGGGTAGCAGAGGTGTGATGCAGAAATCTCCATCAGTAGTCCATTTGCCTTCTGCTGCAGCACTGAGAGTGATTCACTCACTGCTCCCTACCTGTTTCTCTGTTTTTATTAACTCATGCTCTCCCACCTGTTTTAGCTCCTTGGTTTTTGCTGATGTCAGTAAATGGATGACTGCTGCTGTTGAAAACAGTTGCTATAGATACCTGGAAACCACTGCATCTCTACTGGCCTGTTCCTGTGTAATCTTTGCATAATGTTATCCTTCTCTCTCTTCCATTTCCCTGTCACCAACCCCTATAGAGTCGGGATATAAGCCCAGAAGAGATAGATTTAAAGAATGAACCTTGGTATAAATTCTTTTCGGAATTGGAGTTTGGGAAACCGGTAAGTTTAAGAGCTTCAGTGGTTAAAGACTCCTTGTTAAATAATGCTGTTGGTGCACTGTTGCGGCTAAAGAACCAGGTCTATTTGTAAGGAATTCAGGAAGTGGGGAGCAGCTATATCAGTGGTCAGTAGTTGGACTGTCTGTTCTTACAATAACCTGTAAGCTTCCCATGCTTTATTTCACCAAGAAAGGACAGTGAGCTCTGGAAGTATTTCTTGCCAGGAGATCCCCAGAGAGACATGGCTAAATCATTGCTTGTCTTAGGACTTCCCATCACTAGCAACAAATATTGCATGCCTCGTGGATGGCATTATTTCAGCTGCTGGTTCAGTTCCTTGACCAGCTTTATGGCCTGCTGAAGACAAGCAGGAAAATACATTACACACTGAGAAGACCAGCATTGTCATTGCTTTAAATAGAATTTCTAAAAGCACATAACATAGACACGAGACTTGCCAAAAAGGGCCCAGCTCCTCTGTGCAGATGTGTTTCACGAATGCAGCCCCATTACAGATGACTTTTAAGGAATTATTTTTGAGTTAGGATCATATTTCCCCAAATTTGAAGTAAGAGTTAGGAATTCTAGCAAATTGAGTGTTTAGCCCTCATGTTGAGCTTCCCTGTGATATCTCTGAGTTGGTACAAATCGATTTTTGCTTTTAAAGGAGGATTTTCTTAGCCCTGCACCTGAAGGAGTATCAAACAGAAGGGGGAATTGAGCTCATTTTCCACTGGACGTGACTGGCAACTGACTTTAAAACTCTAGTTACTTTAAAGCCTTAGATATTACAACTGCAAAAAGAACTTACAGGCAGAGGGATTAAGTGTATAACAATAAAATATTTTATTAGGTGTTTTTATGAAACTTTAAGCGTTGAATACAGTATTTGAATCATTGTGGTTTGGAGTATTAGTTTTATTTGTAGAAAGGAATTTATAGTTCAGTAAAATGTTAAATTTGATGGTTTATATTTTTCATTAAGGTGAAGACAAAGGCAAATTAAGCTGGTGCTTTGAAATTGCTAATTTTATGCTGAGTTTTTTTTTTTTTTTTAAGTCTCAGCATCTTCTGAGTTAGGAGCACAAACATCTGCCTGTAGGAACAGGCATTCCTCTGCCTTGTCCCCTCCTAGACGCTGTCTCCTAATAAAGTGGTCCTGGGCAAACAGTGCCACCTAGTGACTAGCACAGAGGGCAGCGTCGAACCCGGAATCTGCCCCATCTCTCCCTCTTCCCCAAAGCTTTGGTGCAAACCTCATTTCTCCTTGCCCTGCCTTTTTTCTCTGTCATCCACCATTCAGACATCAATAAAGTCTACTTCAGGCAATCTTTTCCACATGCAAATGTTTAACAATATCCTTTTTCTTTTCTTCTTATTCTTAAAATGTACTCTATCTCACAAAAAAAGCTCCCTTTGAATTGTGTAGCTTGCCCACTCCACCACTCCCACAAAAAGAAAAAAAACAGACCATGGTTGGTATATGTGATAATCGATAGTCTCACCAAGGAAAGCAAAAGCTATTAGCTTTAAATTAAGTGTAATAAAGAGTCCATGCCATTGATTTTTGAAGTCCTTTTTAGAATCCACAGATTTCTAGCCACTTCCTTGTTTGCCAAATAACTAGTTTTATCTGAAACATTAATTTTCAAGAAAAGGTATGAAACAATTTTTTCTCATTAATTATAATTGGTTTGTTTCACTAAATCTATCATTGCAAATAATTCTATTTTTGTTTCAGGCCCAGCATACATTAAATAGGCTCTGTGAATAGCTTGGTAAATTAACATTGTTTCTGCTGGAAGCAGTGGTCTGAGCACCACACAACCGATACAAACAACTGTTGAGAACACAGTTCATTTGTGTATTGGCACCTTCCTATGACTTGTATCCCTATCCTATTGTTCTAACAGCTTCTTCATTATTTAAAAACTTAGAGATGATTTTCCAAACTGTTATTTTCTCTGAAGCCAAGAGTGTTCTTTGCTTGCATAGGCCTTAGAGGCCTTCTTAAATGGACCACTTTTTGTATGAGTCTTTTAAAGTAATAAAAGATACTATTGTTGAGACTTGCCAGGATAGCTTAATGCCTGTATCCCAAGGAGCGGTGTTGAGATAAATGGTTCATTATGGTCTGAAGTGTTGAAAACATGGGTTTATTATCTGGTTGAACCAAGCTGGATATTACTCCCAGGGTTTGGGAAGGTATGGTGGGGAGAAATATTTTCTGTTCACTTCTCTCCTACCCCAATCACTGTGGATCATAAATGGGTAAGAGACCTAAGTAAAAGTGGTGTGAACCATGGAAGCTATTTTGGAAGGTTTTTCAGTCTTTCAGAAGCAGAATAAAATGAAAACTCCTAGGAAATTGGGTGGATCATCATTTCTGTTTTTTATTTCACACCCACTCAGGACCACTTCCCCTAGCCTGAGAAAAGCCTGCCAGAACTTTGACACTACACATTCACCCCAGGGACCACTTTGGAGAGGATTATATAAAACCAATTTCATTTGTAAGCACTGTCTTTTTTATCCCCCAGTAAATAAAGAAATGAGTAGGGTGTCATAAGTAACTTTAAAAAGCCTGTTTCCTCAGATGAACAATACAAGTATATTAAGTGCTTAAAGATAAACAATTGCTAATAAAACTTACTTTATACATTGTAGAATATACACACAGAGAGTCACATTACTGACCTGGTGCTGTCAGGGGTGTGCACCTTGAAATCCGTTACTTTACAGATGAGTTTGCAGATTCATTACTAAATGCCTGGGTATTGTCAGCTCGTTCTTCTTTTTTTCCCTCTAATTTCTATAGAAATTAATGTGATCTATAACTAAGCTCAACGCAAAATGTCACAATGTAAACCACTTTGGATGCTTCCATACAGTTGCTTACAATGAAATTTGCACCAAATACCAGGAGCATTATTAATGATTCCATCTCCTCAGAGGTCATTGTGTAAGAAATTTCAAGTCGTTAGTAGGCATAAAAAGGTTCCAGAGTTGAGAAATGACTTGTAACTTCCAGATTCTACCCTCCAAACTCCTCCTTTGTTAAACGTAGAGTTCTCCTGGCAGATTTCTGTTTTGAGAATGCAACTCTAATTCTGACTTGAAGTCTTAAAAGGGAAAACAAAAATAACCTTCTAGTCTGTTTAAATTCCAAATATAAACTAGTTTCTCTAAGGGAGGTGGAAGATAGGACTTTACCACCAGCAGTGTTATCAAAGTCTAGTTGTAACAGATTTTGGAGTTGTTCAGTGGAGTTGTCTAGATATAGTGCAATATGTAATGCCCATTTTGTAAATGGATTTCATTGCATAAACCGCAGAAATCACATTTAGTTAAGCTTACCTCCCATTGGCCACATCTCCAAATCCACACATTTACTAACAGAATTTTACAGCAGAGAAGACAGGCGGCTTCAGAAATGGAGAATCTCAGTGTCAATCTTCATTTGAAAAGAAAAATAAGGAATTTTCAAACTTACTATTTTTGTTCAAATCAGTGTTGATGCTTTTTTCCCACCCTTTTGTTTTTCTTATTTTCAGTTTTCAATACTTAGAGTCCCACAGGGAGTTAGTCTTAGACATAGGTACAGAAACAAACTTCCCGGTTAATGTTTCCAGCTCCCAGGTTCTGCAGGATCCCTCCTTGGACAGCCCTGTGTCCCACAGTGGCCTCCTTAGGAGGCAGAGTGCATGGTCCCTCTGCCTTTAGTTCCCTTCTCTGTGCTGATAGAGTTCTCCCAGTGTGCCCCTCTTTGTTTGAGCCAGTCCCCATGTTTGTCTTTATGTCTTTATGCTCATTTCTTCATTTCCTCCTCTGCTTCCCGTCAGCCTCCCAAAAAGATATGGGATTATACTCCTGGAGACTGCTCTATCCTTCCTAGAGAGGATAGAAAGGTAAATCTGCTGTGCCTCCTCCGTGGGCTGTGTGTGCGCTCTAGCCTGGTTAGTGTGAGTGTGTCGTGGGGCCTTTTCTTTTATTAAATCCCCCTTTTTTTTCTTTAACTTGATAACCTTTTTTATTTTTGGCTTAGTGATAAAACTATTTAACAAAGTCTCTAAGACTTGTACTAACATAGAGAGGTTTTTACAGCAACGACTTATTCTTCTGACATAGTGCTTGTCACAGTGCCCATACTCTAAAAAGAGGAAAAATAGGTATTTTCTTTAAAGGTAGGTTTTTTGTGGTATTTGTAGTTCTTCTCTTTAGCAAGTAGAACAGAATTTTGAAGCTCTGATTACTTTAGGATTTATATTTTGTATGCCTCATGTTGCATTCTCTATTTTCATGTCTTAACTAATGTCTAGTGAGCTCTTGTATATTTTAGTCATGCCATCTCTGCCTTATTAAAGTATGTCACTAAACAAATTCATTTTTCGTACTTAACCGTCTACTCTTTCTGCCTTTCCTCTAAACTAAAACAGTCTTTCCTATCTTTTCTTTCTTGAACCAGACTAATCTAGAAAAAGATCCCAACCTCTGCCAGACAGAGTTAGAGGCAGATTTAGAAAAAATGGAGACGCTTAATAAAACACCCAGTGCAAACCTGTCACAGGTATTTCTGAGTTTTTCTCACGCCATTAGTTTCTTTTCAGGCTGTTTTGTTTTGTTCTCTGTTCCATGGTTTTTTATGTAGTTGAGGTGATGGATGGTTATGCTGGTTAATTTTAAGCTGCATGGCTTTCTGACCCCTATTTTCAATTCCTCTCCCCCAACTAATTTTTGCTTGGATTTCTTTTGAGCTTGGCATCTTCCTTAAAGGGGATTTTCCAAAGAATGCAGGGTGGCTGGTGATTTAAATGGCTCCCCCGCCCACACCCCCATCATTTTCTTCCTCTGCTTTCAGGAGGTGACCCTGTTACCTACCTTTCTCACCTTGACACACCTTCCCTGAATTTTCAGGGAGCCTCCTTGTCTTTTGTGCAGCCCTGAGAGATACCAACCTCAGAGATCATTCTCAAAATCACAGCAGGGGTGATTTGAGTGCCTCTTACATGCGTGGTTCTGAGTAGTGTTGGTAACTTGAAAGGTCAGAAAGTTCGCAATGAAAAAATGCAGTCTAGAGGCCACAAACAAGCATTTGAAACTCAACCTGCATTGATATTTTTAGAGAGCCATGTCAAAATATGGTTCATTAAAAGATATGTCAGAGAGAGAGTCCAAGGTAAATGGATTTCCAAAGGGAAGAAAAATACCAAATGTTTGGAGAACTGCTCCCAGGTCTCCGTGACAAAACAGAAGAGAGTCTTACAAGGAAAGGGTGTATTTACAGAAAATAAAAAAGGAATGCAGACACTGCTGAAGAGGCCAGGAAGTACCACAAACTATGGCAGGAAAAGTAGAAAATGCTAATGTTATACTTTAAGCAGAACTAAGATAAGTCAACTCAGACCACCAGCCTCTGAGCACCAGAGACTCAAAGCAGGGAATGGGGTAAAGACACCAGGCAATTATGGTAGCGGCCAAGGGGTCTTGGGATAAGACGGTCAGAAGCCAGGGGCTGCAAGCAGATCAGGGCAGTGGGGCTTGGGAATCCATTGCTACCGAAGGGTGAGGAAGCCAGCAAGGGCCACCGGTTAGGCCCTGGCCCCTCTTCAGAACTGGGAGGAGGCATGGAAGGTGAACCTCAGTGCACACGACCCAGGCAGGCGGGTGACAGGGTGGGAAAGGGGGGCCAAGTTTCCAACCAGGGCAGGGTGGAGATCAGAACCAGGTATACCCACTATGGGACTGAAGATTTTAGCTAGTTCTAGAGTGCGGAGTGCCCGCAGGTAAGTCCTGGCGGGAGGCTGGGGCAGGATGGGAGTGCTGAGGCTATAGGTCAGCCAAAAATGAATCAGGCACTTTTCAAGGTAGCTGAAAATAAGAGCGGTTCTGTGATACATGGGAGGATGGAAGGCTGTGGGGGATTGAGCAGACGAGCTGCAGCCTCCCTGGAAACAGAGGAGGCGCCCCACCCAGGGCAGGAGAGCACAGAGAAGCAGGAGGGACCAGCCTCACGCTGGCCCAGTGTCCCGTCCCCCCATCGGTCCCCAGCATAGGTAAGGCACCCTGAGGGAGCAAGGGGTCTAGTCAGCACAGCGAATGGACTTTGCCTTCAGGAACATGGCAGTTTAGTCACACTCATGAATAAAAGATCTCCAGCAGGACACAGCAGAGCCCGCTAAGAGCTAAGTGAATGGTGTAGGCTCTAAGTGTCAGAGCAGTTAGCTGAGATCTTAAAGGATGGATGGAACTTAGGAACATGGTAAAAGTAGAGCTGTCCATTTGAGGCATGGCAAAGAGCACAGAAGTGAACATGGTAAGGATGTATTCAAGGAGTAAACTAGACAAATTCAGCTGAAATAGAAGAGTTGGGGTGGTAACAGTGGGAGATAGGTTTGGAAAAGATGGTTGGGCTGGACTGTAGAGGCACAGAGAATATGGCTAAGGAGATCATTGATTGTGCCCTCAGACCAATGGTGTGATTTGAGAAATGTCTCAGGAGAGTTAATCACTCTAGAAAGGCTGAATTGAAGGTGGTCCAGAAGTGGACAGGGCCAGGAGGCTACTGCAGTAGTCCAGGCACGTAGTAGCGGGAGCCCGTACTGCAGTGGCTCCAGCATGAGGGAGGGCGGGGTGGGTGTGGGGAGGTCACCGAAGAAATGGCAGTGGGTGCTTTTAACTAATTGGTGTGAAGAACAAAGAACTGGGGGATGGGATAGAGACAAAAGACAACTCTAGGGTTTGGGCCAGGAAGCTTGAAGAAGGGAGACATCAGTATGTTATAAGAAAGGTGGAGAGGAAATCAGTGCAGAGATAGGATGCAGGAGTTGGTTTTAAGTAACTTATTTTGAGGTGATGTTTGGGTATCACATAGGGAATGTCCCGTAGACAGTTGGAAACATAACACTAGATCTCATGAGAGAGGCAGGGCCTTACACAGTCAGTGAGTGCTGGGTGAAGCCCTGGGAACAGGTGAAAGGTTGAAGGGAGATGTATAACTCATGTTAAGAGGATGGGAGACCAACAGCTACCCACTGGGATGCTGGATGCCCCTGAACAGGAGAAGGGGAGGCTCATAGAAAACAGTTTAGAAAGTAGGAGGAAAAGTGGGTGGTGGAGCAACGGGAGCAAGTGTGAGAATCACCCAGTACCCCAGAGAGGCCCTCCGAGGGGAAGGGCGACAGATGGGATGAGCAAGAGGTTTCTAGGAAGTTGGGAGGTCACTGGGGGAGTAGTTGATGGAAGCTGGAGTGGTAAAGAATTGGGAAGCACTGATCGGAAGCTAGCTTTGATCATGGAAGGAAGGAAGAGGGGTGGTCGCAGAGGACTCAGCATGGTTATACAAAAGGGTTCCCAGATGGAGACAAGGGCAGCATCCTCAAAGGTGGGTGAAGGCCCAGGGTGGGACAGGTGCCAAGGTGGGGGACTCTAGGCAGGAGAGACCAGTGCAGGCAGAAGGGCCAGCGGGATGGTTGTGGGGGTCCAGAGTGGCACCGTCTCTGAGGAACAGTGGGGAATGAGGGCCAGAGTCCTCAACTGGGGGCAGAGGTGCCCTCAGAAATGACAGGACCGTGCAGGATAGGGGGCAGAGGGCTGGGTGGGTGAGCACCTGATGAGGGTTTCTTCCCCTCTTTCACTCTTGCCCATCCTTTCCTTTGTCCTGGTGTTCCTCTCCTTTCCCCACATGCCTCCTCTCCTCCAGTGAGCTTGCTCTCCTTGAAGTAGTCATTCTTAGAGACAAGAGTATCTTTAAAAGTTGACTTTTTCAATGATTCAACTACCACATTATTTTTAAAACAAATATATTGGATTCTGCTTTTTCTAAGATAACAAAGACACCCTAAACTACATAACTATATTGCTTTTTCTCTGCATGTAGCTCTGGGTTCATTGTTTTCTTCTGTTTGCATAGTAGCCTATGATTTTATAAAATTTTCCCCTACTCAGGCTGAAATGGTTATTAATAGGTTTTGTGGGACTGCATTTCTCCCCATTTCCACACTGCTAAATCTGCAGGGGTGCATAAATCTCTAAATACAGTGTGATCTTTTTACTTGCATTTGTGTACATTCTGTACCTAAAGTGTTGGGTGACCCTCTCTCTGGATGTGGCTTCTGGGGCGCATGAAGTAGTCTGTGGTGGGCTTGGTGGGAGGCAGGGTACTAGGGGGGGCAGAGTTGGGGGGCTGGGAAAAGCTGGATGTGCTAATGCATGTTGGCCAGGTGGTGGCCATCTGCCTAGAGGGCCTGCGACAGAAGATGACCGTAAGCCAGGAAGCCACCTCCAGTCCCACCAGAGAACCTTGGCTGCAGCCACTGGGGGGCAAAAGACCAGAGAGTGAGAGCACCCCCCGCCCAGAAATCCTTCTCCCAGGAAAGAGCACTGCCCTCCACCTGCACTGAGTCCCTTCCAGCCGGACTCGCTGTCTCCCGGTGTCCACGTCTAAGTTAGGAAAGGAAAGGAACCACTCTCTTTTTCCCCTTGGCTTGAAACATCTGAGTCAAAATAAATTGTCTACATTCTGTTTTGTTTTGTTTGTTTTTTTACATTTACAGATCTCAGCAGTCAGCCCCACTCCAGAAATTTCTTCAGAGTCTCCTGGATAGTAAGTTGCCACCGTTCACATGGCTTCATGCATTGCTGGATGTCAGAAATGGGACCCAAGTGTGTTTTATTTGTATCAGTCTAGTGGCTTTGAATGATGGACCGCTTGGTGGCACGCAGCAATTAAATTACTGTCTGCAAGTTTTTTTTTTTCTTGTTTTTCCTCTTCCAAATTGTGGGGTGATTTACATTGCCTTTGATAAGCTTTTCCTGTGTTGGCCTCTTTACCTTTAGAATATGAGTTAATTTGTCTGAGTTGAGAGTCCAAGTGTACCCCATTTGCTGCTTGTTGGAGGTGGGGGTGTGACTGGAATCTGGTATAAAGGTTGGGAGGGGGTGGGTGCTTGGCTGGCCCTGGCACAGGGTAAGATGGGGCCGAGGGAGCTAATTCATCTGATTCTGAAAGATGTGGATTTATTTCCTCATACCAATGCTTAGGACTCTGCCTGGGTGATGCATGCACCCCCCATCAGCTTCTTCATGGGGTAACCAGCAGCCTCCTTCCCATCTCCCCCAAACCATCCTGGGTCCTCTACAGGATTCCTTTTCTCAGTGTTTTGCCATGTGGTTATTATCCCGGCTGAAAATGTTTGGGTGCTGCCCCCCATCACGTACACAGTAAATAGCAAGCATGTATTTGTATAAGTAGACCCTAACAGAGCCTTCCTCCACCCGATCTCATGGTAGCCCCTCTTATGGCTCTCACCTGTACTGCGTACCTGAGTTATGCTCATGTAGTTTTACATCTGCTAATAAGTCAGACAGTCCTTGAAGGTGAGTACTGCACCTCCATAGTGCCTGGTTCACCCAGTAGATTGGGGCATTGTTCTGTTAGGAGCAGCTCCCCACCTTAGCACCACGATGTTTGTATCTGATTCTTTGAACTATGACACAGAGTAAAGGCACAGTGATGACCTTCTCCATTTGGGTTGGGTGAATCCACAATGAGCGAAGTTCATGTGTTCAGATAGAAGCCTGATTTAATCTGAATGCTGAGTTTATGGATTTGGGGGGCAAATATTATAGTCGCTTGGGCATGTCCTACCTCCCTGGCCAAATAAGCCATTTGGTAGGAGTGGCTTCATTCTTCATTTGACAGTCAAATCAGCTGCAGTTAGGTATTTCTGAATATTGACAAAAAACTTAATTCTTTTACACAGTGACCAAATCTCCAGCTAGACCCATTCTGTTAATTTTTCTTCTATAACTGTGTCTATTAATGATTATGGTGAATATACCCCAGAACTTAAGAAGTTGAGAAGATGTACCGTAGCTAGAGGAAATTTACCTGCCCTAGAGGGCAGGAAAAGGCCTAGTATAAAGTCTCTTGCATCCACTGTGGGATCAGCGCTCAGGCCAGCGACATGCCAGAGAGGCATCAAAGCGCAGACGCAGCATCAGGTCCCCCTTCCCATTCTGCCTCCACCCTGGGCTCTGAGGCTCACTCTTCAAGAAGCAAGTTGAACTGTGCCTTCAGCTCCAAGGAGGACAAGTCAAGGGTCCTCTAGGTCCCAGAGCTGTGCTTGCTAGGATGAAGCCCACCAGATGATGGAGGGCTTCTTTGAGGCCATAGCTCCCAGCAAACTCTCCTTGGTACCTGAGGCCGCTTGTTTGTCAAGATGACAAACGTTGTCAGTTTGACAGCCTGGGCTGCTCAGTGCCTCATCACACAGGGCTCTGCCTGCTCCTGCTGCTCTCAGGATTGCCCAGTGGCAGTCCTGCTGCCTGGGCTTGCACCTCTCCCTCTCCAGCCCCATCTCCCTGAAATGCACAAGACAGAAAAGGCTGTGTCAGGTGGCTGGCAGCGTACCAGTTCCTCCTGGTTCTAAGGCACTGTGCTCGGTGTTACGCTAGGAGAGTAAGATATATTCCCTTAATAGTTTGGGGGACAAAACACACCAAAAAATTAAATGTTAGTAAATAGGGCAAAGTGGCAAATGACTGAAGTAGTTTATAGGGATTAAAATTATTCACAAGGGAAAACTGTCCATGGGCCATCAAAGTTAGGAGCACAGGTTTTGAATGAAGTAATTCTAGCAACTTACTGAGCATTTATTTTATGCCAGGCCCTATGCTCAGTATCTTCTATACTTTACCTAATATTAGTCCTAACATTCCAGGCTGAAGTGTTATTTTTAATCCCCATTTTATAGGTGAGGAAACAGGCACATAAAGGCACACACAGGACTCCACAGCTTGTCCCTGGCAGAGCTATACTGATAGTAGGAACAATGAGTTTCTAGGCCAGGGGACTGGTGTCAGCAGTAAATTCTCACCTGCCCTGTACTGATTCAAAATCAGACAGTAAACTAACAGAAAGCATGTTACATACACTGTTTTTGAGTGATTAAAAAAATAGTTTAAGCAACTATTTGCAATACTGTGTTAGCAGGGTTGGAGGGGACTAATGCAAACTGCTTAAAAGAGCAGATTGCTTTCAGGCACACTGAGCACTGTGTACATAAATATATCTGATGTGTTAATTTGCCAAGCACTCTTATTTATGTCATTGAAATAGGGTTCCAAAGAGCTGTTTTTCAGCCGTAGCCTACCTCTCAAATACTTGGCAGGAATAAATGAGTTTTCTTCTTCCTGCTGTTCTACCACTTGGGGATTTTTCAGTAAGTCAGATTTGGTTTTCTCCCAGTTTGTTCAAATAAGCAAGGTTTTCCTGAGTTTGGAATCAGCCAGGAGCCAGCCTTAGTGCAGTACCTGACACATAGGAAAGCACATGATAAATGTTTACTGGATAAACAAATGCATCTGTAAGGCTTAATTCACTAGACTCCATCTCATTTAGCACCAAGGCAGGCAGCCTGCAGGCTGAACCTGACCCTTTTCACTGGGTGGGTGGGAATGATGTGCTAAACATTGGCAAGACTTGCATTTTAACCCAAGGACTGAATAGAGAGGAGTCACAGATGGCTCAGGGTCAGAAAATGTGGTCACTGGAGAAGTGATGGTGTTGTTTTAAATCCACTTTCATATTTTGGACAGACTTCAGTTTAGAATTTTATTACTATGATTACATATTACAATACTAAAAGAATCTGGAAACAAGGAAATTCACCCGTAGTCCCAATAGCCTAGTACAACTACCAGTGATTCCTTTCAAAAACAATATTTCTTGTATTTGTGATCAGAGTATGTCCAATTTTGTATTGTATTTCCCTAGAGTTATCAGATCTATAAATCAGTGTAAACTACGCATTTTCATCAGTGCTTAGCATTTCAGCATTGATGAGCAGTAATATTCTTTGCCTAAAGAGCTTTACTCTATTTGGCCAGAAGGTGGCACTCAAGAACAAGCTGCTCTTTGCTAAAGAAAACTTTTTTCCCTCTATGTGACTTAAGATCCAAATACAAATCTTTACCCAAAGAACTATATGAAACATCAGAGACTCTCCTGGGCCTTAAAAATCTGCCAGAAACCTCTGTGTATGTAATCATTTAATTTTATAGAATTATTTATTCCACTAATACTTATTGAACAGCAGTGCTAGGCACCAGGCATGCAAAAATTAATAAAATAAACTGCCTGCCCTTAAGTGGCTCAGAGTGTAATGGAGTGACAGACCTGTAAATAACAAACAGAATCCAGTGTTGTGAACACAGTGACAGGACCCGCCAGGGAATGAGCATCTCTGTTTTGTGGGAGAGGGAAGGACAGCTTTATAGAAGAGAAGCAAATAAAAAGTAAGTAACGTTAACATTATAAAAAATAAAAATTTTGATTACAAAGGCTGTAAGATAAAACTGCCCTCCCGAGATTGTCTAGAGTCCCTCCCAAAAACCTACAGTTAAAAAGTTACATTTTTCTCTTCCTGAAAAAAACCAATTGGTGTTGAACAGTGAATTCTACGAGGCTGGAATTGTTTTGTTCCTTGAAGAATCTCCACCTCAGAGAGTGATTGGCAGTTAGTAGGTGCTCAGTAAATATTTGTTGAATGAATAAAAGGAGCAGCGGAATAACATTGAGATCTTTTCTAGAAATGTCATTAGCAGTGATTCACAAAGACGAGGGGAGGGAGTCAGGGCCACAGACTGGCGGAGTGGTGGTGGGCTTGCTGCACAGGCATAGTGGGGGGCAGTGGGGATGCGGTGGCTGGGGAGGTGGAGCAGGATGGGATTGCCCAGAGCTCTGTCAAGGACAGGAAGTAAGCAGGGCATGGTGACTGGTCAGGTTTGGGGAGCAGGACAGGGAGAAGGGTGTTGAATTCCCTGGGCTTTCTGGCTTGGGTGATGATGGGAGATGGAGGAACAGAGCTGGGTTTGGTTTGGGACACATTGGGTTTAAGATGCCTGAGGAGCGTCCTGGTGGACATAGCTAGAAGGCAGTTGAATGAATGTATGTGTCAGGAGCTCAAAACAAAGTCTATACAAATAACAGATTTGAAGGTAAGTTTCTTGCACAGTCTCTTCATGCCTATTAGTTTTGCAGATGAAAGAAACGGAGGTTGAGAGAAACAGATTGTTTCTGAGTTTTTCAACAGGGCAGCTTTGCCTCAGCTGATCACACCTTGAAGTTGGGCTGGAATCACACCCTGCCAGGACCCCGCCCGCCTCCTCCAGAGCCGCCTGCAGTTGGCGCAACTGGAAACAGTTGGCCCTGAAATGCTTGTTCAGTTCTCTCTTTATTCTTCCAGTGAGTGTGTGTTGGTTGAATCCCCTTGAATCTTAGCAGCCAGCTCTGCATCTTAGCCAGAGGGCACATTCCCACACTGTCTCCTGGCTTGCTCTTCTGAACTGAAAACTGGCTCAGCCCAGGCTGCTGAGAGCTGAGCTTCTGAACTTGGCTTGTTTTGTCAAGTCCTTGGTAGCTGTCAAGGCTGACTGGGCCTTTCTCAGTCAGCCCACCCGCTTTTCTCATCCTTTCTGACCTATTGGAACACAACAAAGACCCAATGACTCTGACCTTCCACAAATGCCTTCTCAACTCTGAGCCTCAGTTTCCCCTTTGGTACAGTGGGACAAATGAGGTCTGTCTTTCCAGCATTAGGA